CCCCCATAGAGGGGGGAAGGGAGGGGGCATTTTTTTAACGCATTTTTCAGATTCGGCCGTGTCTGTCCCGAACGTATCAGGTACCGAATACGCGCGCCCCACGATCGCCCCAAGCTCGACGGGTATTTCAAAAGATTCTCTTTCGGCGCTTATTTCGCTCCGGCAACCGGAACCTAAAGCGGACATAGAGCTTCTAATTTACACCGCAAAAAGAATTTGGGGCGACCCTGAGCCAGCGGCTGACAGGCATCCAAATTTTGATAGGGTGGGCATGACTACATAAGATACATAACTCTAAGGTATATAAGGTACATAACTCTGCTCAGGCACCTCACTACTTTTTGAACGAATTAAAGCAAGTTTAGTCATTAGTTTAAACAACCTCTATGACAAAACCTGGCCAATGCTTTACGGTTCTTGTTCCTCATAGTTACTTTATCATGTTCGCAGGGCAAAATTTGTTGCTAGCTTCGTTATATGGTTAAATATTTTCCTGCTTAACGCGATGCAGCTTGAGGGGGTGAGTAGTTTACACGACGTGACACGTTCGTTTGCGTTTGCCGCTCCGCTGCTGCCCAGCGGGCGGCAACCAGCGTTAGTTCGTGAAATTTAGTGAAACTAGTTCGTTAGTTCGTGAAAACTAGTGAAAATCACACGCCGAACGTTGCTCATTTCAATCCTGTAATAGTACTAGTGGGAAAAGTGAACTTGTGAAGTATTAGACATGAAAAATATAGATTTGATAAGCTGAACATTACTAGAAATGTAATCGTTTTCCTGTACAACGGTTCTGCAAGTGGAGTTCATTGAAAAACACCACACCGATACGGCGATACCGGCATTACAGGAATATAATGGCGCCATGATGCCGGCATTCTACTTCGCTTAGAAGATTCAGGAACTGGCAGCAATGGAAATTTTTAACTCGAGGTATATGTTGACAGGTCATGATATTTTAGCTGCTCGTGTCCGTATACTTCTGGTTTTAATTTCTAATTCATCGGAAAGCAGGATCCAATGATCCATGAGTGGAAATGCCAGTTCACTCTTTCTTTCTTTAATTGGAATTTATGGGAGCCTCTGAAGACTGGTTCAATGCGGCCCCATGTCAGAACGGTTCAAGGAATTTGACTGAGTTTTGTTTTCAGGTGCAAAATTGGGTGTCTTGAAAAAAAGCTGAAGATTTCTCAATGGATGAAGAGCTGCAGAATGGGGCCACCAAAGTGGAGACCACACCGGGGCAGAGAGCACCACTCCAGGGCAGAAAGCCCCACTCCAGGGCAGAAAGCCCCACTCCAGGGCAGATAACTACCTGGGGACACCAACCACTCACCTGGGGACACTAACCACTCACCTGGGGACACTAGCCACGAAACCGGGGGCACTAACCACACATGGAGGCAACTTAAAATCTTTGTAACGAATTTTGCAGTTTGATGCTGGGAGCATTTATAGGTGTTCAGGAGTTAAACTTCACTTTAGCTGGTTATAACTCTTACCATACGCCGGCTCAACACCTCGGAGCGGGACAGCAGAGCATTTTCAAGGTTCGAGAAAGATAGTTCCAGAACAATGACGTAGCAGCCGGCCGAAGCCGGCTACTGTCACGGGAGCTCAGCACAAGGAACCTCTTGCCTCAACGGTTAGAACAGAACTCCCGCCAGTTCACTCAAGTTCAACTGCATGGTTAGACTTAGTCTTCACCAGTCAAGCAGTCACCATGTCGCTGCAAGAGAAACGCGTAGGTACAAACAATGATAGAAATCCTTTAGTCTCAACTCCGTAAGTTATCAAGTTGCTGGTTCATTGTAATTATATGCTTATTTTTCGTTGTATCGTTGGATTTGGTACCAGAGTGAAATCGAAGTAATGTGAATTGGGTGATTTTCGAAGAATTGCATATTATTAGAGCATAAATTTCTTTCCATTGAACATGGCAATGTTAGAAAAGTCACAAGTTCCTCCTGGAATTTCGACGATAGCATTTGATCCATTCCTCACAACCACTGTAGGAAGAATTTTAAAGACTCTTTCAAATCAGTTCTATAGAACAATTGGTACGGGTGAATGTGTTAGAATGTTTTGCCCATTGAATAATGTGCGCTAATATTGAGCGGTGTTGAATAGTGGAGAATAATGATCGTTGAGTGCTATTGTATATTGGAGAATGCTGATCGTTGAGTGCTATTGCATATTGAAGAATATTTGGTTTTGTGAAATGCGTGAAAATGCTGACAGCTGGTGAATATTGAAAATTATTTTGCTCGGGCAGTGTGCGAGGGTCTTGCAATTTTAGAAAATATTAGAGAATGTTATGGGTAATGTGGTAAGTTGAGGTTGAAAGTTGTATTAACTGATATTATTCCCGTTTCAAACTCGTGTTTGCTTGCCACTTGCTTCATTGTGCTGCGATGATACATTTCTAGTCTCTTCATATATATATATATATATACTTCTTCATTATTTGGATTATATTGGAATCATTGGGGTAACAATTGTGACATTGAACAGCCGTTTTTACTACCACCTGAGACAAGCTAACAACCAGACCAGGTCTCAAAGCAGTACAAATAAGCAACTTCATCTCAAAATGGGCGATGAATTTAACAGGCTTCGTGACAACATCATCAAACTCCCAACTAAACGCGATAATGGCCCTTGCAAAAACTCGGAAGTTTTCCGAGAGGCCGTTGTGGTCTATAAATTTTGCTTCAAAGAAGGTTGTAGATTTCTTCATCTTTTGGACTACATCGGACACTTTGGATCAACAACCAGGACACCGAGAAGCTGTCTTATTAGCTACCTCCAACCCGGAGGGCAAGTGAATCACGCGCGAAAATCTCAACCAGACCGTCACTCGCTTTGTGCTGAAGGAACCCACCAGCATTGTCATCAAGCAGTGGCCTGACACAATCGACCGAAGATGGCTAGCCTCATCGTCTCTACGGATTGGACGCCTGCTATCTCATTCTTAACTACCGGATTTGCCTGAACTTTGAATTAGTTTTCAGAGTGATTTTCTGATTCAAATTTTAATGTAGTATCCTATTTACGTATATTATGTACTTATTTCCACCAAAATTCCAATATTTAATGCTCTTTGTAACTTGAAAATGAATGTTCGTTACATTCGAAACGTCGTTAATAAACAAACTACTTCCTGATATATGCCTTTCGATCTACCAACGTCATCTGAAGTCTGAAGAATTGCCCGACTCTTTGATAATTTAAATCAACGAATTCTCTGGTCGTTAATCGCACGCGTATAAATCAACTAATTCTGCCATCCAAAACTAATTTTTGCAATAAAGACCCGGCAGCAGGAGAGAAAATGATTACTGTGAGACACAGAACTGAACCAATTGCAAGAAAAATCAGCAGTGAGGTCAAAAATATGAAAACTAGAGACCCAGAAAAGTATCTGAAACGGTCTCAGAGTATTACAATCCAGCAATTTCATCTCAAGATCATCGATGAATTAAACTGGCTCCGCGACAACCTTGACAACAAAGTCAAACCATGGACCATACCGAGCAATGGCAAATGCAAAAAAGTGGAAGTTCTCCAAGAAGCCGGTGTAGTCTGTAAATTTTGCTTCAAAGAAGGTTGTAGACTTCTTCATTATTTGGATTGCATTCGGGTAATTGCAGTAACGACTACGACATTGAATTGCCGTTTCTTCCACCATCTGAGACAAGCTCACAACCAGACCAGGTCTCAAAGTATTACAAAGAAGCGACTTCATCTCAAGATCATCGATGAATTCAACAGGCTTCGTGACACTCTTAATAACGTCAAAACCCAGAATATACGCAACAACGGTACCTGCAAAGAAGCGAGAGCTCTCCAAGGACCCGATGTATCCTATAAATTTTGCTTCAAAGAAGGTTGTAGACTTCTTCATTATTTGGATTATATTGGAATCATTGGGGTAACAATTGTGACATTGAACAGCCGTTTCTACTACCACCTGAGACAAGCTAACAATCGGACCAGGTCTCAAAGCAGTACAAATAAGCAACTTCATCTCAAAATTGGCGATGAATTTAACAGGCTTCGTGACAACATCATCAAACTCCCAACTAAACGCGATAATGGCCCTTGCAAAAACTCGGGAGTTTTCCGAGAGTCGTATTTATTGTGCACCTTTACTACTATCGTATGCATCGAGACATTTGACCTCAGTTTAAGCTGCATTATTAGTTGCCTGAGTAAACTGTTGAGTTTATGATAAAAGTTAATTTACAGATACAAATAGAACATAATATAAAGTTCGAAGAACGGAACGGTAACGATGATTAAAAGCGGTTGGTCGCTCAAACATACCCTCAAGCTAACCGGTTGCAGGCTACGGCAGGGATTTTGGGCGAAAAAGAATTATTGATTGGTCTTCAATATGATCGTTCTTCATCGTACGTTCTTGAGATTTTTTACTGAGATACGTACGAAAAAAATTGAGTCGTTAAAATCGCAAGATTGTAGTAGCGAGGTAGGGGGTTCGAAACTCGCAACGAGTAGTGAAAATTCTGGTATATATGCTCAAGATGAACGTGGTCGTGTGGCGAATAATCAGCGACCGGTGATCATGGCCTAATCAACGCTGACAGCACCTTATTATTATATTATATGTAAGATAATTTTATGTTTAAAGAGCTCTGACAGAGAGTGGTGGATCAACGCTGTTATCTATAAATAGAACCAAGACGTGCATCAGAAACAATCCTAAAGCTTTTTTCTAATCTACCTTATAACAAGGGATTCATCATCCATCTTGATTGCTAAAACAAAAGATAGTTGAATTCTTAACCCCGAAATGTCAGAGTGAGCGACACATGACTGCAGAAAACGCAGCCCTCAACTGATAGCGCGATGCAGGCCGAGCTTCGTGTTCTAACATAAGATTTGAATTAATAGTTCTATGATAGATATTGTCGTACAGCTAAATAACTTGAACCATTCTTTATAAATATTTTTTAGTTTATAACAACAATAATATATTTGTTTTCTTTTTGCGATTCAATGAGAAAGTTGTCAAAAGCATTGGTTTCAAAAGTTCTTTGATTTCTTGCTGATTATACGTATTGGTATACGAGGTAAAAAATACTCTTTCACTAGTACGATACTTTCATACTCACAAGTACCTCAAAAGAGTAAGATGTTAACGAAACCCAGCTGTTCCTCCCCGCTATGAACACCAACGCCTAAAACCCTACACCAAAGTTGAGCGACAGAGCGTGCGAGGTAAGCTGCATGAGGCAGCTTGTCATGAAAAATTGAAATGAAGCAGCGTTATCGTCAATCCAGTTTTGGGTGAATGATGGAAGCAAATTGCGCCGATGATTTGGTCTGAATTATATAAATCTCCTTTCAAGAAGCTATTAACATCTTAGGAGGGCGCTGCACTTCACTAGCTAGCGTCTCCAATGGGAAATAGCACCTGGACCGGACATTTTATTTTTGATGGTAAGGTCATGTGTCACCGCGCAGCCGGGCCTAGATTAGCAAATTAGAATATTAAACTTAGTGCAAAAATTAAAAATTTACATGAAAAAAAACTGGAAAATATAGAAATAAATAAACTTATATCTCTGTTTCTTACTAACAGTTTGAATAGATCTTATATATCACTTAATATTATAATAATTACAACGATTTCATAACTGGAACGGCATTCTCGTTGCTTCATATGTGACCATGTATAATCAATTAAGGTGTATTATCCTGTTGAGCACAGAGTTCACCTGCGACTTTCTAATAAAGTTAAGGGGGCCGTCTACCCTCAAATTTTCAATTTTGGCGTTTTCCGGTTTTTGTGCTCATCTTAAAGCTTACTTTCTGACGCATCGAACGGTACCAGAATCATCTCTCTACGTCGAAAAATGATTTCGTGACAGCTCCCTAAAGGGGGGCGGTTTCGAGGGCCCTTCAGTAAAGTCTATGGGATTAATTAGAAGGCTGGACACACTAAAAAGGAACGTCTGACGTAAAGCGGCCAATTATGGCATTATCTGGTGCTTCTACTCATCTTAAAGCTTACTTTCTGACGCGTCGAACGGTACCAGAACCATCTTTCTACATGCATTTTGACGTACACGACGCGCCGTGGAATGGGGGGCGGTGGTGGGCGTAATTCGAGAGCAGGGCTATAAATATAGCCATCTGCACTCTGCAGCCGGAGCAGTCAGTGTTCATCATGACAGCGAGGTGAGAGGTATGCAGCCAGTCGCTCTATGCCTCGCTGACATGGTTTGAGGCTAAATTACGGTATCTAGGCTACGTTACGACTCTTTTACGTCCCTTTACGTACCGCGCGGCAGTTTTTTGGGCTTGGTGTAAACCTCCTATTGCTCTCACGGCAAACCTATCTCCTCCTACAGTTTTCACGCTACAGCAATGAGAGTCATATCATTCGATTCGTAAAGACCATAGCTATCAACCTGGCCATCCTTTTTTTTAATTTGTGCATGGTTCGTCTTAAATATGGGGGAGAAGGGGGGGAGGGCAGAGAAAAAGTGGAAAAATGGGAAAAACGCGCATAAAAAACTATGGGGAAAATGAAAAAAAGGGATGGCCGAGTCGATAGATATTGTCTTTACGAATCGAATGATACGTGTCTCGATGTTGTAGGACGATACTTGTAGGAGGAGATAGATTTTCTATAGTACCCGTTTTTGGCCGTTTTCTATGAATATCACGTTTTCTATCGATTTTTTCGAAAAATTTATATGAGCAAAATGTTATTTTTTTACATTTTACGTGCGTATGTGAAGTTTCACGATGATCAGATAATAACTGTAGAAGTTTTTACGGAGGGTAGACGGTCCCCTTAAAGCAGGCCTGAGGACCGGGGTCATTGAGTACACGCCTCCGCGCCCAGCAGACCGACAATTGCGTGGATGAGGGCTGCCGTATCACGGATACTCAGCCGCTGACTAAAGCTCTCCCAACGCCAGGAAATTGTTAACAATTAACATTGCAAATATTGGTATAGTTATTATGAAGTTCTTCCTCTATGCAACATTCGAAACATCGTGTTTTATTTTATATCTCCCGCCGCCAACAAGACATTGAGTTCGATTCATTGAAAGAACAAGCCAGAATTTTTTTAACAAGAGGAATGCTCTGGTCTTCAATGAAACTTGCATAAATGAACATTGCCTGCACCACGTTCAGGGCATGACAGCTTCTAGTTACTCACGTGGTCGGTAGCGCAGTACAGGAGTCAACGGCCACGGTGTGGGAAATGAAATGGTGCTTGAAAATTTAAGCTCACGAAGTTAAAGTTTATTTGCCAAGAATCGGTTAAGGCTGGTATGTGGAGCAATGTAAGAAAATAATTTGAAGTTAGTTCAAAGTATTAAATTAATTTTATTTTTTTGGTACTAACAAAATATGTCAGTGTTACCAGCAGAGTCAGGACGTAAATTAACTGGTGTATGAAAAATTTAACTGCATTAGAATAGTCATAATCAAAATAGTATAGCCCATGTATACAACATTTCACAGTTTTACAACGTGCTTGAATCATTCTTAAAACTTTAATAAGCATATGTTATGAGCACTTAAAATGACGAATCTTTCCACATATATTGCTGTTCAGGTACGAGGACAACTGCTCACCAGCAATGCTATCAGATGCATGGATAACTGTTGAAATTTGACCGTTTTTATATAGGTAAGTAGCTTTTATCTGATCACACCGCCAGGCTCAATAAACCAGCGATAAGAGGTTTTATGACAGCAGATAAGAAATTTTAACAGGTGCGTTCAGCCTGTTCAGCATAAACAAGAAATCAAAAGAATTAAAAATCTTAACAATTTACTTACTCTCCTTTTTGCCTTTTATTATTTACCCTATACGTAGAAACAATTGGTATCACGAAAGCCAAATTCATATTTGATCAACTCAAATCCTATTTGACATCTAAAAAGTTCTGAAATTAGGTGACATGTTAATCTACTCTGCGCATCAGAGATAAGATTTATAGCATGTCAAGAAAGAGTTTCTGACGTTCCTTGTTATTTTTATGACTGAGGCGTACGTGATGGTGGGGCATATAACAGCAATGGCAAAACTATTATACATAAAATATATCTGCTCATAATTCCTACCAGTATTACGTCGGAAAAACTAATATAGGAACAACTAATATCAGCAGCTGATTTTTCTAGATTGAGAAATTTTGGCATAAGACAAAACTGATAGCTAAAATACTTTGTTTTTTCTTCCAGATCCGTGTGTGAATGGAATCACCTGTCTTCGGACGCCGTCTCGGCGCTATTGTTAGACGCTTTCTAGCCCCAAAAGCCTCTCGATGCATGTCATATAATAACAATATTTGAAAGACAATAATAATTTTAATTTTAACAGATTATTCAGCCTTTTGATATTGGCTACCTTCAGCAAAGAATTTGTTGTGGTCTCCGGGACACAACATTCGGCTAATCTGATCGTACGGCCAATATCTACACCTAGAGATGTAAAAGATGATAACTGAAAACTGTATTAATGAAAAATTTTTAAATACAAAAATAGAAAAATATAAAGCATGTGTCTTCCTAGCCTTTGTCTATTGAACCGTGATCAATCACAGGCGTGATTGATCAATTAAATTCCTCTGGAAATGCCCTAACATGCAGACCAAAAACTCTTAATAACTAAACCAAACAGACAAGAATACAACGCAATCTTCACAGATGTACATAATACACCAATATAAATAATACTATTCCAGATTACCAATAACAAACTCCCCTTTCTAGGCACATAATTAATGATTATCATAAATGAACGGACCAAGTAAAACACGTACCTACGTGGTGACTCACACGGCAATGCAAAAGTACAGAGCGCGTCTACACGAGGTCACTACAGAGGTGAATTAAAACCCTAAACGATAAATTACAGGAGTTCTTTCGCAGTTCTTACAAATTAGGAAAAGAATGTCTCATTTGAGCCGTGATGAGTGCTCATTGCAAAATGTGATGAATCGAACCACCGACTCTCGTAGATCTGAAATTTGCATTAATTAAAATTTCACAACTGGTACGTTGGAAAAAAGTTAATGTAAAATCAAATAGTTTTTCTTGTTGAGTTTTTGTGTAAAATGATTGATTAAATTGTTAAACCATGAAACCGAATAAAATTTCACCTATAGCACCGATTATTTCCGGGAAAGCATTCCTAATCACATTGACATGACATTTTAATAGATAAATGTGCTAGGTGGGGACGAATATCATGCCATATGAAATTAAAATTTCAGGAACTGTTCATACATATATATCTATATATATCTTTGTAATTAAATAATTAATTCATTAACTTTCTTACCATGAGACCGATACTGGAAATTTGACTGATTGCAGCTATTATTTCCGGCAAATTACTCCTTGTCGCATAGACATATGACATTTTTATAGAAAAATGTGTGACCCTCTCCAACAAGATGTGTAGCTGGTGAGGACAAATATCATGCCTCATGAAATTATAATTTAAGGAACTGTAGTTTCAGATATAATTTAATTTATGAGTTTATTTAGGCGTAAAACGTGTTAATTCATTTGACTTGGGATCCGTTGAATTTCTGCCGCGACGAGCGACTAAACAAAACGACTGCGTTCTGGATTAGGCTTGTCTTCCGTTTTGGAATAGTGAAGAATTAAACTAATATTTCATTAATATTTAAGAATATCCAGTACCTGTGACAAGCTCGTCATTTTTTAAATCCTTCGAACTTGATCCAACGCATTAAAGTTAATCTATATTCTTCGTGGTAAGCGCCAGCACTTATGTGTAGGCTATTATGAACCAGGGAAAATTAGAGCAAATGTTTAATTAAATATGCGTTTAGGCAGCCGTAATCTGCTGCCAAGATTGCGATGATCGATGAAGTCTCGAGGCAAACGGCTCCACAATAAACTTGCTGTTTACGTAAATAAATTAAATAAATAAATAAAGTTGTTTACGTGAAAAATTTCAACGGCTGTCTGTACTGGATGAATAATATAATGTTTTCAATCTCATATCGACATCTTATCAGTGTTTTTCTTAGGAAGTTCTTAAAGTTCTTAATATTTTCAGCGAATTATCATTGGCTGCTGTCATCAATCACTCCTCGTGTGCATGGTCGACACAATTACGTTGAATTTTCTGGTCGCCGCATTTATTTTAATAAAAGATCAATGAATAATATTCAAATTCTGCCTACGCTTTGACCACATAAAGCAGCCATATTGTAATAAACGTTAAGGGGAGCGTCTACCCCCAAATTTTATCTAGGTTATTTACAGACGGATCACTTTGAAACTTGGTACGTATAAGTAAAACAGAATTCTAAGACTTTTTTGTTCATGTGGATTTAAAATAAATGAAAGAAAACGTGAAATTCTTTGAAAACAGCCAAAAAGGGGTACCGTAGAAATCTATCTCCTCGAGACACATATCATTCGATGCTTAAAGACACTATCTATAATTCATAGTACGCGTTTTTTGAAATTCTCATTTTTGTGGGTGTGGGGCATTTTTCGTAGATTTTTCGAAATTTTTCGATTTTACCCCCGCCACCCCCCATTTTGCGGAATAAAATCCAGAGTATAACGAAATAAGGAAAACGCGTGCTATGAATTGTAGATCTTTTTTGGCAAATCGAATAGTATATGTCTCATTGTCGTAGCTTTGAAACTGTAGGAAAAGATAGGTTTGCAGTGACAATAAGTTAACTTTTCAGTAGAGCCCGACAATGTCGCGCGCGCCTCGAAATAGACATTCAAGGGTGCAAGGTTGCAAGACTAGACGATACTGGAGCACAATTTATGTCAAGGATGGTGCGAACGACGGCACGGGAACTATCCCGTACGACTGCAGGCGGATAACTGAAGCACAGCGTGTTCAGACTAGCTATTTAAGTGGACTGCTGGTAATTTCAACCTATCTTAAATGTTAAAGAACTCCATCACCCCTAACCCTTTCGCGACATGTCGTGAACGCATAAATCAACGTACAGAGATGGTTTTGGTACCATTGGATAGGTCAGAATGTCAGCTTTAAGATGAGACTAAAAACCGGAAAAGCCAAAATCCACAATTTTAGGGTAGACGCTCCCCTTAATAAGGTGAGGTAATTAATTACACAGAAATTAATATGTTAATTATAAAAATGACAAGCACCTATGAGATTCGTTCATAATGCGTAAAATAACCGGGTAAGAACTAATGATATTCATTAAAGTTGGAATGAAAATCATTAGAATGATTTTGATCGTAAAATGATTTTTAAGCCTGGTTGCATTGTTTCAAAACAAGGCATCACAAGGCATCATTCAAATGCCGCACCAATGATCCTTTTGTAAACAAAACTCTGCTGTCGTTAGGTGCCCGGTGATCCTGGGGGCGTTTAGTGGCAGGGGACAAATGCGTTCTTATTTGTTTCTCAGTGCTGAAAGATGCATGTCTTACGAATTTTTGTATACAGCATTCGCTATCTCAGAACCTATAGTTGACATAATTCCTCATTATGCCTGTTCCCATTTACTTTCATAATGAGAGTATAGTTACGATAAACTTTGTTTTGATGCTCCAGGCTCTCAAAATGTTTTTTTTGGGCAACAGCATTTATTTACAAATTTACTTTTTTTCTTGTTGGTCCGGTAGGAATATTTTAAGTCATTCGCGTGCATTGTTCTTGTNTAATTAGTTCTCTCTACGCTAATTAGGTCTCTCTACGCTAATTAGGTCTCACTACGCTAATTAGGTCTCTCTACGCTAATTAGTTCTCTCTACGCTAATTAGTTCTCTCTACGCTAATTAGGTCTCTCTGCGCTAATTAGTTCTCTCTACGCTAATTAGTTCTCTCTACGCTAATTAGGTCTCTCGGCGCTTTCTGCCAGAGAATTATTCTCCTGCCTTATATCAATCACACTTTGGTCGCAATTTGGGATTTTACTGAATTGTCTTTCAATAATATTATTTTACTGAATAAAATGAGTGCGTAAAATGTGTATATTTACAAAAACTGGCTATTCACAAAATAAAATGCGAATAGTTACTAAAACTGACCATTTACAAAATAAAATGTGATAATTACCAAAACTGACGCCATACAAAATAATAAATGTGTATAGTTACTAAAGCTGATTCAAAATTCACTTTTATCTCCTAGATTTTTACTACTTCTCGATCACTTGCTTATTATTTTAAATATTTATAATTTTTCTGGAATGAGACGAGTTTTGACTCTAGATTATCACATTTTTC